TAGAAATAGGGTAGTAACACCCAAGCACTCTTTTTTGAACAGTTTATGTTATTTTCCATAGGCAGCTTTAAGCAAATTTAAACAAAAATAACAAAATTTAAAATATCAATTTAAATTACTTTCATGACAAAATAGATTTCAATTCCTTTGGATTCCAAAATTGATACCTGCTCTCTCATGTATTCTATGGAACATGAAGACAGATCATAATACTTGAATTGAAAGAAACTAAACACTAGTCAAGTATTCCATTTTGAAAATAAACAAGATTAATTTAAAGGCTAAAATGCTACTTAAGAAATAAAAAGCTCCTATGGGGGGAGGGGGGAGGTAAATGGGATAAAAGGGGTCAAATAAGTGGTGACAGAAAGAAATCTAACACTTGAAACTTACTGAATTTCGTTAACCAATGTCACCATAATAAAAAGAAAGGAAGGAAGGAAGGAAGGAAGGAAGGAAGGAAGGAAGGAAGGAAGGAAGGAAGGAAGGAAGAAAAAGAAAAAGAAAGAAAGAAAGGGTGAGCTCCAAACTATGAAGAGGTCCTGAGCATTTTTTAGACCTTGGAGAATTAGAAATTAAGAAGAGAGCTTTTTTAAATACGATACAAACACAGGTCCATGATGTAAAAGAATGATAGATTTATCTATGTAAAAAATTTAAAAACCAACTTTGACGAAAATGTAATAGACAAAATGGAAATATAAACAATAATATGAGGGGATGTATTTGCAATATGATAAAGGGTTACTATCCTTTAAAAATATCAGTACTTTCCAGTTTTTGTTCTGAACTATCTTTTAATACATTTATGTAGAAACTTCCCTGGAGGAAAGTGATAGTTTCTCCCTCTGAAGCAGCAAGAAGTTTTGCTTACTATGCAGCATAATAAAGATAATGTCTTTCTCCAGAGAAAAGGAAAAGATTTCCTTGCAGCCCATTATAAAAGATTCGGGTTTTCCAAGCAGAAGGTCTTTGGCTATGACATAAACCTACTGCATGTACAGTATCTAGCTAAACTGTTCCTCGCCACCTCTGTGGCACTTGGGGAACCAATGCAGTCATAATCACATGTATCTTGGTGTGCTATAACAGTGTCATATATCTCTGACCCAGGAGTCTTGTGTCTTCTTTCGGAATCCATGACAATATGGCATGATACCTAGTTAGCTTGTAAAAGGGGTAAAATCTTGGACCCTTGCAAGTTCTTGAAAGAAATTAGACAATTAGATGGAGAATTTCAGCAGAAAGCTGGAAACTATTATCAAAACAGAAATCTTAGAACTGGAAATATAGTAACTGAAACTGAGAACTCAGTAAATGGGTTCAAGATCAAAGTAGACACAGCTAAAGAGAAGATTAGTAAACTAAAAGATACATAAACAGAAAATAGCCAGAATGATGCTTGACAGAAAGAGATGAAAAATACAAATACAACTGAAGCTGTATGCACATCTATTTACAATTCGATTACTCTGCCCATTCTAAAAGTAACAATTTTTGAATTATGTCTTTATACATTTACTAGAAGTATATATATGTACATGTATCTTTGTATGTGTACCAAACAACATAGAACAACATTTGTACTTTTAAAAACTTTATATAAATTATATTATTATGTGCTTACATTTTGGCTTAATATTTGAATCCTATAAAAAGCTCATTCTACTAAAAAAAATAAAATAATAAAAAATCAGTACTTTCTCAAAAGAAAATTGGCAAACAATATGAATAAGCAATTCATAGAAGATAAACTGGCCAATAAATATATGAAAAATATTCAATATTACTAGTAATCAAAAGTTTGCAAAACAAAACCGTGACGAGATTCCATATATGTTTTTCTGTCAAAATGGCAAAGATTACTAATTAACATTGATATGTTAAGAGGAAACTGACATTGTATGCTGGTATGAACATAAATTGATACAACTTTTTTATAGGGAAGTTTGGAATGTGTATCAAAACCCTTTAAATTAACATATACTTGGACTTACAAATCCCACTTCTATGAATTTAATCTATAAAAATAAGCAGAAATCATTACAATGTGAATCCTTCCCACCCTGTCCCCCTACTTTTCATTTTAGTGTTACTTAAAATAGCAAAAATGGGAAACATCCAAGATTAGAAACAAAGAAATTAGTTGAATAACTTATAACATATCCAGATTGTAGAATTGTATGTACCCATGAAAAATATTATAGGAAAAAGGAATAATGATTTAAGAGTAACCTTTAGGACCAACATAGGAACTCAGAAATTAACATTATTAAACAAAGCTTAGCAGATCCAGGTAATTTGATTTTATGTAGACTACCTGGCGGTGTGATTACTATAAAGGAGTAAAATATTTGGCAACTCAGAAACGAGTAAGTTTTGTAGATCAAAATTGGAATTGATCTACAAGTGTACAAACTTTCAGACAGCGGCTTAGAAAAAGTTAGCCCTTCATCTTGACTGCTATAAGGATTTCGGCTATTTAATGTCTGGACCCGTGATCATTTCCATCCGTCTTCACCTCCAACCTGGGTTTTCTTGCCACTTAGATCTGAAAGATCTGCTGAATGACCCCGAGCCCTCTCTGCGCATCGTTGCCTCCCAGGCTCTGTTCCGAGTCCAGAAGGTGGGGGCTGAGCCAGATCCCAGGCAGACATTTTGCAGGTTGTGGAAGCTTATGGGTTGTCTTCCTACCTAGAAATGCAAGGCAAGCAACATCAGGTAAAGACTAATCCTTTCAGAAACCAAAGAGGCATCTAGTGCTCCATTTTTTTTTCAGACTTAAAGCAATGCCAGCATGAAGCTACCACTACCCATATAATCATCTCAGAACATATATATATATATATATTGTTGTCAAAACCTTGAAGGAATTAGAATATGTAAGGGAGAGCAGCTCTTGGTTTAAATTGGCAGAAATAGTGAAAATCTACTGAGTTTTTGAGGCATACCAGACATTCATAAAGTTCTAGTTTGATAAAGATAACTAAAACGGCTTCAAAAGAGAGTCTAAATGTTAATGTTGCAATGTTTGTATTACTGGCTTTTCTGTCAAGGCCTAGTTTACTTGTCAACAATCTCAAGAATAAAGTAACAACCAGTTTTTGTATTTTGATATTGATAAATTTAAAAAAATTCTTTATGGCCTTTCTCCTTTCTTTCCCTTTCCCTTAAAAACCTTTGAGCGAGAAAAAACTTCTGATGTGTTGTAATGCTAAATCTATCCCAATAGATGTGAGGTTTCCACTCCTTACTCCCCCTTTTACCTTGTTCTAATCCCCTCTCCTACAACTGCCATCAGATCCTTCAATGTTTCTAGGATGGGAACTGTTATCTGTTGAGTACTTACTGTCTGCTTTAAGTAGAGATGCAGAAAATTTTCTTACAAGCAGAAATTTTCTGAGAAAAGAGATTAATTTGTACTGGGTGAATACTTTGATAAGATGCATGTAAAAGTGTGGGAAACCCCCAAGGTGCATGCTAGATTAATTAGAAATGGTCACTATTGGTCTAATTACCAGACATTTTTTTTTTTTTGGTTGAGGAACATAAGTGAAAAGCCAGAGCTCAACTATTTAGGCCAACGGAGAGGCCTCTTGAAGGTGATGTGGGAAAAGTGAAAGGAAATGAGGCAACTGACACATGAAGAATAGACACATCCAATGGTGACTTGCATTAAGTTTTTGTTTTAAAGTGAATAATGTGAATTCTTACCACCTAGTCCCCCTACCTTTCACCTCATCCCTCTGCTGAGACGTCGTAGGAACAAATTCCTCCATGATTCATGGTGGGTTGGATGTTTTGAGGGTTGTGACAGTATGTCAAGTATGGCTTCAAGAGGATAGGATCCCTGCCCAAGAGAGGTATTCACATTTGAGCCTACTGGTCAGGAGATTGAGCTGAAATGCAGGCCTTGGCTGTCTGATGGACTGAATCTTCACCCTCGAGCACAGCCAAGAGTACACCTTGAGTGGCTACTGGGTGCTAACCTTCAGTGCAGCAAGCCCGTTTTTGAGTTACTTGCATTCCTCACTGCTTTCTCCTTGGTCTCACAGCATGCATCCAATTCCACTCCACAGCATGCAACTCCACTATCATTTTGTGGATTATCCAGTACAAATGAGCAAGGCTTGTCGAGTATTTACAAAGAGCTAGATTAAGCAAATTATATGATTACCTCTTTTAATCCTGATGCTACTCCATGTGTTATCTCCATTTTGCAGATGGGGAAGCTGAAGAACGGAACATGAAAGGACTTGTCCGAGGTCACACAACTAGTAAATGCCAAACTCAAGGAGTCTGGCTGCAAAGCACACATCCTTGGCTGGACTGCTCTTCTCCTCCCCAATCTGGTCTTTCTCTCTCATGTGAATAAATGCAGATTTATTTTATAATTAATCTCAGTTGCTGAACTCATGCCCCAAACTCACATACTCAAACAAATGTTGTAAAGTGTTATTGAACCTCATATAATAAATACAAAGTTTGAACACTTCCTACCTAAAAGTTAGTGTACCTCATTTTATTTTTTTTAATAAGATAGGATGTACATCCTATACAAAATAAAAATTTCTGGACATTTAACTGTTATATGTTGAAATAAAAGTTCAATGTAACTGACTATTTTGGCTTTATTTTCATTATGTACTATTAAAATTATTGTTGGTTATCTATTACTGGCCCAGCTGTGTCTTTATTACTTTAAATTTTCACATTTAAAATTTTGAGCATTGCTTTTCCTTCTTATACTGAGAAACTTATAAGAAATGCTTTTTTCTCTCTCTTATTGAAAGAAACTATCATGTAAATAAAAGATGGGATTGGGGGAGGGGAGAATCTCTCTGGCATCGTCCCTCGCAAGTAAAACTGCACTAGGTACAACTGTAAATAGGTCAAATCTCTCTGCCTGTTCCAGCTTCCTCCTCTTTCCTTCTTCCAGGTTCTATCTCCATGCTCCTTTTTTTTTTAAATCTCTCCCTCTCAAGAAGAGATCTGGTGAATTCACTGTTGGTATAAGTGGTTACTAATACTAGACTTAATAAAGTTAACTCTTCCAGAGATTTTGTTTTTTAACAAAGTAGAGTTCTTAAGCCAAAGGCATGAACCTCTAAGAAATTTTAGGCATTACTGGGCAGGATGGAGAGAGCAGGCATTTGGAGATTGGGTTGGAGGTTATGGTAGGGAATAGAGATTTTCCTGTCATCCCTGAAACCATATCATAA